GCGCTCTGCCCGCTTAGCGCCCATATGGGACTCGGCCCAGCGTGCCGAGCCCCTGCCGGCGGAGAGTTTTTTCCCCGGAGATGACAATGCACCTGAGGGCATTGTAAGGCTCAGCTTGAGGATTTAGTTTTAGGGTAGCACTTACGAATCTCTGAACCCAGAGCCCGAAAACCCTAGCATAGGTCTGTTGCATGGAAGTATATATTCATGCATGTATGCGTCATTGCACATAATAGCAATATTCCTACTCATCAACATGATGGGGACTAAGGAGATAGGTCAAACTACCGGTAAATGGCGTGGTCCGAGTCGGCCCATTGCGACAATACCGGAAACGCGGTCAAGCAGGTTTACATAACTGTAGCGGTCATGGGAGTTGAAAATCCGAACATTGCCTGCGCAGTCCTTTGTGCTTCGCATGTCCAGGTCCTCAGGTGTGCGGACAGAGAGATGACGACGAATCAACATCGGCGGCCAGCAAAATGTATCGAATCTCTCATGACAACCCATACCAGCATAGCCTGAAACGCAAGAACTTCTCACTTCAAACCACGCTTGTTTCGAGTCTGTCCGAGCCTCCTTCGAGCCAAGCTCCCATCTTTGTAGGTGGTAGCTTTCGGTTCGGCTTTGGAGACCCTGGGAGTCTTACAATCAACGGAACTGAGGTACTATAGGGGCCTAAATAGTTACCTATACTATCTTGGGGGGGCTCCTTATTGTAATTATGGTATACTGGGCCCCAAAACCCTATTCTGATCATAAATGCCCCTATATTATACTCCTTCATGCAGGGGTGCTGGGCTCTGTGGGGGATCTCTGGATGATATCTCTTGATGTCCTCTGTGTGTGTGTTTGTTCGTGCTGGTCGGCTAGGACAGGTCAGCTAGGACAGGTCAACGGCCTGCGAAAAGTACTGCATCGATAAGTTACCAACATGCGCTAAGACCACTCGCCCAAAGTTGAGAGAGGCAATCCTTCATGGGCCCTTGCCCTAAAGCTTTAAGTAGGCTCTAGTAGGCCCTATGCAAGAGGAGATGATATCGTCGTGGTCTTCGAGTGTCTTATGCTGACGGCAGCCGACAAACTGATTCGGCGCTGTTTGAAAAAGTCGTGGTCATGATGTGGTAACGCTGAACGACTACCTGAAGCCAGGATGGCCGCCGATGCAGTGCGATGCTTACGATTTCTCTGTTTTTTGTTCGGGGTCCGCAGCTTGCGAGTTCTCAGTTTCACGCTGATGGGACTATAAGCGCCATCAAGGATAAGTTTGCGAGTGTAGGTCCATCAGCATAGGGAAGAAGTGACACAGCTGCCACGCTTAGCTCGTCCATCGGCTATAATTTGTGACGTGTCAGGCAGGCGGACGCACGGAGGAGGACCGACACCCTAAAGTTTCGTAGTCCCTGCTCTTCTGCTGTGTCGTCCTGCCACATACTAGTAATTCGCAACACGCCACCGGGGTTCCCCGCAAGGGGTGGCAGTTCGATGCTGCATTGCAGCTTGAGGGTTGGCTGGTATATTAAGAACGATTAATATGGCGATTTAAGAATTAGAATAGGGTTTTGGGACCCCATGAATAATAAGGACCCCCCCCCTTTAAAAAAATAGTATGGTATAGGTCCCTATATTAAACGGTTTCTCTTGCCAGGCTCATGGGTATTCTTAACCTCGACTCTCAAAGCCCGAAATCCTTAGCGAGAAGCCTTTGAGTTGGAGTTTTGCAGAGCTTCCCCGGAGCAGCAATGCAGAATGGAGACTGCTGAGAAAAGGACCGCTGCTTGACCTAGACCTTGCGGGAATGTAATTAGGGACCCAACAAGCACATAAGCATAAGCATTTGATAGGGATATCCCTACCTTTTTGGGCTTCTTTATAAGGGGGTTTGTATGGGATATCCCTATCCTAATTTTTGCTTTTGTGCTTTTTGGGGGCCCTATGTAAGAGTACCCATGTGGGTTGCTTTACAACGAACCCTCGAAGGATCCCTAAGCCCGATTTGGCTTTTGTAATTAGATGACTTAATCGGGTCTTAAGTCCATCTGTCGTGCGGCAATGCTCCCGGGCCAATGGGACCACCGCAGATACAAGGCTATGCCAGCTCAAATTAGGTATTGTCTATATAGTCTTTAGACTCTATAGACCATAACATAGGTGCTGATTATTTGCATACTTGGAGTTGTAGGGCTTTGCAAGATGCAGTGTGCCGGTTCAAACCGCAGCATCTATTCGCAACAAAACGAGAGCATCACTGCTTGGCCATCGCAGTCTGCACTCAGCGCCTTACCAGCATCAGCACTAGAAAACTATCATAGTCATCATAGTCAGTTTGACCCTCTGTCCTCAACCCTCGAAATCCTAAAGCGAAAACCGAATCTGCAACCCTAAACCCCAAACCTACAAATCCCAAACCCCATCCATCAGACTTGAAACCTTAAGCCTCCTGCACATTCTGCCCGTGCTAATTCCTGAACCCTAAACCCTTAAACCCTAAACCACTCAACCCTTTCCCCAAGGGTCCAGAGGACCCAATAATCAGGTACTCGGTTTTAGGGTAGTAGTTATGTAGGTTAGGATTCTGGAGAGTATATGATTATCAGGTACTTGGACCCTTGGGGTTTTGCAGTGCGATTTCCTCCAACTAACAATGGCCCTGAGCTCGGCATGGAGTACAGGCACGGTGTTTGAAGGAATCTACCTTAAGGGTCCATGTACCCAACTAGTATATACTTCGGCCCTAAAGTAACGACTATAACAGGACCGACCCCACAAGTGTGTAGAATAATGGCCTTTTGTAGGTGTTGGGCCATTATTTTACCTATTTTTTTTTGAGGGGGGGGGGGTCAGGCAAGGTCCGAGGAGTTAAGGGTTTAGGGTTTAGGCTGTTCTGGGGTTTTTAGGTGTTCGGGTTTTGCGTTCCAGGAGTTACGGATTAGAAAGGTTCAGGTTTCCTGGGGATTATATTGGGCCTGGGGTTTTTGAGTTGCATGGCTTAAAGGTATTGGCAGGGTTGCTTTTTGCGGGTTTCGGTTTACAGTATATTGTCTGCAGGACAGATGCTGCAGGTAGAGTTCGGAATTCAGCCTCCAGTAGGGACAACAGAAGTTAGGGTTTAGTGTATAAGGCTCAAGATATTTGAAGGGCATAAGGCTTAAGATGTTCTATGATTTTGGGCTTCACGTATAGGTTTCAGCACCACGACTGCAAAGTTTCAGGACAAAGACATGGTTGTTGGAGATAAGATGTAGTTTGTGTTGATACAGAGTTGCCGCTGCAAGTTCATTCATCAGCCATCTCTCCACCTCTCTGTTTCTCTGTCTCTTTGTCATGCGCTCTCTGCCTCGGCTTCCCATTATACAATCTGCCAGAAGCTCGCATAGGTTTCGCAAATATCGGTTTTGAGACAATCACGGTCCAACCACACTGGTGCACAGCTCATCTCAGTGTTCACACTCAGACATAGGGTCTTGGTTGTGCGATGTTGAGTCCACGACTTCCATTCGGTTTTAGTTCAGAGACAACGGGATTGGTTGGTTGAGTCAATGCTTTAGAGCTTCAGGTTCACGGCTTATGTATAGGTTGAGAGAGTAGGGTTTACACGTCCGACCAAAGGCAAAATACTTGTTGCGTGTGTGATGATTCTGTGCAGGCTCGTCACCTGTGCGCAAGTGGTCGGGACCCTCAGACTACTTGTGCGAAGCATCCGAGTTGGTAAGTGGAGGGTCGCAGCGTAGTAAACTTCAAGGCCTTCGTCCCGAACCTTGTTGCCCTTTAAAGTGCTTACATTGTTTACACCAAATCTGGTGCTGTAAAACCGTAAAACCCTACCCCCTTGAACCCTGGCCCCAGCCCTAAATGTTGCACTGCGCTTCACACTTGCTCCTCCTTGACTGCACAATCACCTTCATAGTAGACTAGCAGAGTGTGCGTCCCAAACCCTCGGCCACTCAGGGCTGGCTCCAAAACAGTCCGGGGCGGAAGTCCATCTTGCCCCCTAAACATGCACTGCAAACCTTCAACCCCCAAGCCCTACCTTGACCTCCAAATAGCCTACCTTTTTCAGGACCTATACAAGAAATCATAATAAGGAGCCCTAAAACGGTAGGTTCTTTAGGGTCCAGGTAGACCCTATAAATCCGAAACCATACACTCTATTACAGGGGCCTTGATAGTTACCTACACTATCTTGGAGGATCCCTATTATCGTTATAGTAAAATGGGCCCCATAAAACCCTATTCTAATTATTGAGGCCCCTATATTAAACTAAACTCTAAATCCATCAGAGGTGGGGGCCGCTAGATGGTCCAAAGCCAGGCGAACCAGAGAGAGACGACATGGTCCTACAGGGTAGAAGGGTTCTAGACGGCCTAGGGTTCAGGGTTGAAGGTTTAACCCCAAACCCTAAACCCCAGAAGGGTTCCAGAGGGCTTATAGGGTCTACCTTAACCCTGAAGGACCGACTTTTTTGAGGGCCTATATATATATATATATATATATATGGAAATCATATTAAGGAACCCTAACAAGGTAGGTGTTTCCGGGCTAGGGTAGGGTTTAGGGATGAATGTTTAGGGTTTAGGGTAGGGTCCAAGAAGGGTTCTGGAGGGCTTTCGTTTTTAGGGCTTAGGGGGATGAAGGTTCAGGGTTTAGGGTTTAGTACAAAGGTCGGCGCCTGGGGCTGAATTAGGATGTATAGGGTCGTAGAAGAGTTCTGTAAGGGCTACATTGGGTTAGCATACAGCATATCACAGGGGTTTAGGGCCTCGGTTTTCGGGCAGAGGTTTCTACGAAGCTTCAACAAGGGATGCGTGTCCTACTAAGAGTCTTATATACAGGTTCTATATGCGTCCGATTAAGGCTTCAGAGGCCTCTATGAGCGGATTTGGGATTTGGGGGGACGGGGGGTCTGGGAGTTTATAAGGGCACAGGGACCAAGGCTAAAGGAGGCTTGGGAGTTTGAACTTTGGGGAGGCTTCACGGCTTCCTCTGGGGTTTGGGGCTT